GGTGCTTGGCTACACCTGTCACAAGTCGGGTTCACATCTTAATATATCCTAGAGAGCCTAACCTTTGTGAAATGAGCGCAACGTGGAACCTTAAAGGAACAGCGTGTAATATTTTAGGGGGATTTAGTGGCATCTAGTGGTGAGGATTGGGGACTGCAACCAGCTGAAAATTCCCCTAGTTAGACTTCCTTCATTGTGTTCATTGTTCAGGAGGTTTTTACTGTAAGTCAAATTATCCGCAGAGATTTCTTCCTGTTAAAAAGAAACTGTAATTTAAACCAGTAAAAACATTAAATAAAGCAGTCTGATGTTTAAAAATCTGTGTTTTTCTGACACTGCCCGATGTGAAGGGGCTGCTAACTACAGCGGCTGATGCGAAAATGCAAAAAGCCCTATCTAGAATCAGTTTTTGGTTTGTTGGTTTTGGGCCACTGTATAAACATAGTGGTGCAACATGGCGATCTCTGTGGATGCAGACCCTCTGCCTATGTAAATACGAACAGCTCATTCTAAGGTAATGAAAACACAACAATTCTTATTTTCAGGTGATTATACACTAAAGAAAATATACTTAATTTATTCAATTTCTTCCAATATATCCCCCTAAATCCTTCACACTGGACCTTTAAAGCAATAATCAGAATATATCACCACACCATTGTGCAGTTATTGTTCCTACTGGAAACCTTTAATGTATTTGTGTTAATTTTTGAAACAATAACAACTTGTAATGTGTGTAATCAGCACATACATCCAGTCTAACTAAACCGACAGCTTACATCACATCCACTCCTCATTAAGGAATGTCATTGGGCAGGTTGAGGTATGTGAGCACTGCGTTTCTTCTGTGAAGGGAAATGAAAGCAGCGAGAGGGAAACGTGTGTTCCTGTATTCTACACGATACTGTGAGGTAAGATGAAAATATTTATTTGTTTTTTAGCTAAGGAATGTTTTGGATGTTGTAAAGTTAAATTTCATTCATTGATTATTTGCAGTGGGTCATTTGAAACAGTCATACTGACTCTTGGATCATAAATCTCTTGGTAAACTGTGGCTACTGTTTGACTCTCTGTAGCAATGCTGATGAGTCTTCCTGGGGTTGAGTAAGCCCAGCGTGGCCTTTCAGTGGGAATGACAGCAGCAGCATCCCACTGAATGTGTCACAGAGGTGTCAGCTGAGGTGCACCGAGCAGAGTGGTGTACTATATAAGGGCGGAAGTTGAGCAGAAAGAAATGCATTTCAACCACACAACTCCCCACATTTCACCCTCAAAACCCAGACCTGGATTTCCTGGTTACTATGCACTCATCATCGTTGTGGTACTCGTACTGATTGGATGTGTGGTGGCGATGGTAAGAATAGTTCTGCATGTTTATTTTAACATGACAGCATCATAGGTTTATCTTTAAGTTTTTATTTTCATGTTTCTCTTCAGGTTTATTTTATCAGGAGGAAGTCAAGGTTAGTTGGTTTCTGTGGTTTAAGCATCACTTTCAGATCAGTTTGAAATATTTTATGTTTTGTCACATTTTTTCATTTGTATGCTTCACCTCAGGTTAGATGAGCTGCGCCACAGGCTGATTCCTCTGTACAGCTACGACCCCGCAGAGGATCAAGAAGAGTGGGAGAACTCTGCCAGAGATGATGAGGAGGAGCTGACTGTGAGCAAACCACTAAAACTTTACTAATCATACACCTCCATTTTCTATCATATCATGAAAATTTCAACTTATCCAGAATTTATTTCTTATTTTCAGGAACCTTTGTACAAGGAGGGAAAGCTTGCCTTTTCATCGCCCTACGGAACATGAACAGACAATCAAGAAAGAAGAATGTGGCCAATTACAAGATGATTTTTTCCTTTCTATTTTGTATCGCAGATGCTTTACAAACAGAGAGTGGCCGCTTTGTGAGGTTTAAAAACACGTGGATGACACTCAACAGCTCTGAACACCACATTCCCATGTTCTGTGCAGAGCAGCAGGTGGTGCTGTGATCCTGTCTTTTGGATTTTTAGAGTATGGATTTTGTTGTTGTTGGTAAAGACTGTACAAAGTGCATTGAGACATTAAGCAAGATGATATTTTTGGGCAATAAACTGAAGGCTAAAATCAATTTCTTTTGTGTTTGCTTTTCATCATCACCTTCCCAGTTTAAGAGTCTTGTCTTGCAAATATGTGAACACTTCCCCAAAACAGTTAATAGATCTCTGAAAAAAGACCCCAAATTCTATTGGATTAACTGTGTTTTAAAAAAAATGGAAAGCATCTATTCACAGCTGATAGAAATTACTTGCATAATTATGAATTTCTAATGTACCTGTGTAATCAGCAGTTTCTATCCATCCATATAGACTGCACCTCTGTGTTACTCTTTGCAAACATGGATCAAAGAGGCCAAAGACACACAAATTAATCTAATATTAAAATGAATGAATTAAACTTTCTGATGAAACGTCTTTTTAAATAGTGTTTCAACAGGGCCTCTCAAAAGAATTTAAAAAGTGCAGGAGCAGAGTGCAGCAGGGTTTCTTATCTCCAATAAAATCCTCTTTGGAGACAAGAATGAAGTTAATGCTTTGAGTTGCTTGCTTGTATTTTTTGGCATGTACTATAAAGTACATAAAGTATTACCAAATGGCACAGACATATAGCACAAAGTAACGTTGATATTAATAGCTGTATTCTGTATTTTGTTGTCCATTGTGTCATGATTAATTTAATTATATGTTACATGTTTTTCTTGATTGCTAAAACACATATCTTGAGACAATGCTCCATTTCCCAAAACTCTAAACACAAATCAATAACTGCACACTCATTTTCACAAACTTAAAACTATCCTCACATAACGTAATAATTTTACATCTAAATCAAACCTTGCCCTCAGAAAACACACGTAAGCTGTCAAAAACACAGACTACATGACTGATTGTTAAACTCTGGAGGGATAAAACAGTGCTACCAAAATGTTAACAATATATTTTCAGAGCAATAATGTGAAACTTTACTGTAAAATCACAGCACTGACTTTCCAGCTAACCCTTTCAGGAACAGCTTGATGAGAGAAATTGAAAGCAGTACTGTAATATACTGCATAACTCTTACAGTGGATGAGGGAATACTGCTGCTGATCTTTGCAATACCACACTGACAAAACACGTGAGGAAGACTCCGTGCATGTGCAGCACATGTACAGATTACTCAGCAGCAACATTCTTAACATCTCATCTCAGCTCTGGGTCAGGCCATGATGTCTCATCAACCTCACACATTACGTTTGCTCTTTCCAAGTAGTGTGGGGAAAATGTCTTTGCCTGCCTTATCCAACCCTGGAGGGACACATCACCACAGGCACCCACCACTGGTGGAAATACTGATGCTGTCAGTTCATTGGAGGACTACCAGGTCTTCAATTATTGGAGTTTGAATTTCCTTTAATCGGACGGCATTACTGACCATCACCATATTCACCAGGGTGGGCTCCTGCTCAGCTGTGAGAGGTCTCTGCCTGCCTACAATAGAAAGCTATATATATATATATGTATATAGCTTATTGACCTGTGCAGTTCTGATTGTGTGTTAAGTTTGTAGTTTAGTGGTTGCACCTTGAGAAAGTTACTTGTATTGACAGCATGTGTTTTGTAAATGAACACAGTGCAGTGATTGATTTATTTGTCCACTTTCGCGTTAGGTTTTGCAGAAAGTGTTTTGAATATTTAAATATCTGTGAAAACAAGTGAATAGTGTTAAGAGTTTTGGGAAATGTGTCTTTCTTTTGGTAGATGGCATTAAGGTTTGGGATGCGTAGTTAATAGGCTCAGTTACAATGTGAAAAACTGTAATTTGACCACAAGTTGGATGGGAATATTTGCTTTTGTATCATGTTTTTAATGTTTTGGTTGTTAAAGCATTTTGCAAACAGTCTGTCATTTTGGCCAGCAACTTTCAAAAATGTGACTTCTGCCTGGACAAATGTGTTCAAGCACATGAGAAACACTGTAAGCTCAGAGGGCTTCAAAGACACACCTGTTTCTGCTTGGTAATCAGAAGGGTTGCCGGTGTCTGGAGGTTCCTCAGGTTGACACGTCTTCAAACGCTCTTGGGTTTTTTTACATACAGGAGGATGGGATCACAAAGAAAGAGCAGGTGAACATTCATCTAAATAAAACAATTCAAACCTCTAACTGATGATTGTGACTAACTGTGTGTGTGTGTGTGTGTGTGTGTGTGTGTGGATTTACATCAGTCTGGATGTCTTTTTGTTGGGACCACACTGGTTCCTGACCTCCATCCTGTTGGCCACAGCTCTGGTTCTACCTGCTCTGAGCCTCGACGGCCTGCTGTGTCACTACTGTCCCCTGCAGCACAAAGGCAAGTCCTGCTCCAACCTCACCAGCGAGTGTCTGCCTAATCAGCGCTGCGCCAGCTCCAGAGGACACTACGGCTCCTTCCACATTCTGTCTGCTCAGGGTTGCGTGGACACTGAACTCTGTGGCTCTTATGAAATCATCTCTTATCGAGGGGTCAAGTTCAACGTCAGCCACACCTGCTGCTGCAGAGACAACTGTAACAGCCGACCAAAGTCTGACACCAATCTGAAGACGCTGCTGGGGATGATCACAGACAAGATAGAGCACAGTCACATAAATGATGTTCTTAGAGAGGAGTCTTTGGATTCATGTGCAAATTACACATCGTCAGGGAGCTCAACATTACCTGCCACTGCATCATAAGTGCTTGGAGACAGCTGGGAGAGGCCTGTTGGCCATAGGCACTCACCCAAGTCTCCTAAAGGACACTAACATTTGTCTGTGATTATTAGTATTTTTCTAAATGAGAAACAAAATGCATGAGTGTTTTGTGATTACATTTTTGCTCCAGAGAGAAAAGGTGGACTTGTCAGCCATCCTCCTGGTGGAACAGAGTAAATGCTGACATCATCTCTGTGGTTACTGATGAATGCAGCATAATTAAAGCACCCTTCCTACTTGCTGTAGTTCCTCTGTGTGGATTTTTGAAGCAGGTGTGCTGGGTGGGAGGTGTGGCCTGTGAGGGGAGATCTGGAGTCACTGGTGACATTAGAATTCAGCAGGAGAAGCTCTGAAAAGTTTTGACTGTTTAAGTGGAATTAAAATCTTTAAATATGTGCAGGTGAGTCTTCATTATGCTGTTTTACTGAAATTGTTTCTGTCGTCACTTTCTGCCTTTAAATCCTTGAGTTTTTTTGAATGTGACAATCAGTGGAGATCATTAACACCTGTGTGAAAGAATGAAGGCTAGGATACTTCTAAAGGTAACATGGTGATTTTTTCTGGCTGTAGTGATGGTCTTGGGGAAAAAAAGAAACATGAAAGAATGGTGATACATCAAAGTCAATATATTGGTCATGTGGAGCCCTGCAGAGCCTACGAAATCTTTTATATTGCATCTTTTATGACTCTGGAGGAGCTTTGTCAAGTCTGAGATAATTACTAAAGTGATGTGACTTAATTCTGGCTCTGACACCACAAATGTTTAACAGGAAGTCTGCAAACTGGGGAAGTAGCATTTGAAATATTGGCATTTACAAGGCCAAGAAGGTCTAGATGAGCTGCATTATGGGAAATGTAGGCCCCAGAGTTTTTGGAACTTGACACATGCAGTATTTTAAATCTCTCACAAGTGCCCTCACTTTGTAAAAGCGCAGTACGAAACTGCTAGTTCCTAATTTCTAGTAGACTAGACTAGATCTTGGTAAAGATAAGTTATTTACAAAGCATCTAAACCCTTAAGTTAGCTCCTTAGGTGAAGAACTGTTAGGAGTAGGAAGGAGGACTTTTAAGAGGCTTAAGAATTTTTAAGCAGAGGAGAGAATAGCAGAAGGACAAAGAGGTAACACTGAATGACAGTGAGTTAATGAAACTTTAGAGATTATATTGTGCAGGGATAATGTTTGTGGTTGATATCATTAGAGAAGCGTTCAAGTCTCGATGCAATAATACCAAAAATGAAAGTGCTAATAAGCAACTGTAAAAATGGAATAGTGCAGCAGTGATGACTTGAGTCTGTCCATCCTTCCATCAGTGCTTCATATTGTGATGCAGTTCATGTTGTTTCCACTGGGTGTCTGCACCTTTTTATGATCAACAAATGGCATTTTTTAGAAGACTGCATCATACCTTGCAGTGGGGTCAACCACACCTTCTCACCAGGGTAAAAGTTTCAGAGTTGCGTGAGAGTTTTCCTTAATCACTCCAAAGCTGGGTCTCTGCTGGAGATGTTTCGGCTAAGTTTGTGAATACGGCCCCTGATGTTCTCTTTAAGTTCAGATTTTGTTTTTTATAGCACAATATTTGGTCATTAAGATACCAAATGCCTCTCTTTAACTTGCAGGCCGAACACGTTGCAGCTTGTGCACGTTGCCATGCTGTGGTTCTACCTTCTCCTCCCCTCACTGCTCTGTGACAACCTGCTCTGCTACTACAGCCCCGTCCTGGAGAAGGACAAGACATCTGAGCTCATTGTGACGGAGTGCCCTTCTGACGAGCTGTGCTACAAGGCAGATGGTCGCTATGGCAACCACAGTGCCCTGTCGGCCAGGGGCTGCATGGCAAAACAGGACTGCAGCCAGGTGCACAGCGTCCGCCACAAAGGAACCGTCTACACCATGAGCTATGCCTGCTGTGATACACCACACTGTAACTCCTGCCCGGGGGTCGCAACCACATCCCTCTACATCACTGTTACACTTCTGACTGTAGCTGTGATGGCCGGCAGCTTGTGACCGAAGACACCTGATGCGCTATGTTCACTAGAATCTTTAGAGGTTCATCTCAAAGGGGAAGATGCTTTTGTAGTTCAATACCAAGTGAGCAGTGCTCTGTAGCTTCAGCATGGAGTAATGCTGATGGTCTACAGAAGTATGTGGTGAACACCCAGCCTGAAGACACTGAGGTGTGCACCAAGCTAAAGGCAGAGATTTCAACATGTTGTTTTATATCTTGGTGACAAAAATATGTTTTTATAAATGTTTTAATGTCTTTAAATAAATATTTGAATAAGAAATTATACTGTGCTCTTTGGGTGTTTTCAGGCCCTTCTCCTTCTCACACAAACACACACACGAGATAAGGCTGGCAGTATATTCTTCTTATTGTCAACAAATAGATTTCCGTATACTCACGTAACTTATTCTTCTGTACCACAGAGCTCCACTTAGCCACACCTTTCCACTGAGTACCACGTTCCCTCATCACAATGAACACGGGCACTGTAGTTTATTTTGAGTCAGTCCCACATACACCATCCTGTGGCTGCAAACACTTACTGGAGCATCAACTGTGAAATAATTTGCAGCTGAAAATAGTCCCCAACAAATGCAGTGAAATGTTATACATCTTTGGATCCAATGGGCATGGGCTTTGTGCTGAGTGCCTCAGACAAGGAGGGTAGGTCAGGAAGTATTTAGAAATGCACCCAATCATTTACTATATTTAGATGCACATTAATATTTTACTGTTATTCTGAATATGACAATATTCTGAATTCCTTTTGGATACTCTAAATTAGGCCTTCCCTAATGAGGCTTTTCCTGATTAAGACATGGGATGTGCAAATATCGTGTAGAAGATTGTTTCCCCATCGATGTCTCCTGCTACCTGCTACCAAAACCTGAACCAAACTTTTAGCCATAACCCTAACCGCGAGGGGGGAAGCACTATTTGACAGGGCAACATTTTGATGCAACACCGGAATTATTTAGGTTCTAGGTGCAATCTTTGGGCATATACTGTGCATACAGAGCATTTAGAATATGCATCTCAAGTGGGGCTATACCATAGTTTGCGACACATGGCCTCATAGCTCTGTGCGTTGTCATGTATGTATTGTAGACAAACAACCTCGTCAACAGTTTGCAAGGCTGGGGTAGACATGCATGCCCAAAACAAAAGCCCACATCTCTAGTTGGATGTGGGATGTGCGTTAAAGCGACACTTACCTTTCTGGAAATTTTTATGCTTTTCTTTATTTAGGTTAAAATGCTATTAATAAGCTGATGGCACACTAAAATGAAATGAATTCCACCAGAGATAAAAACTCATAATTATACTATTCTCATATGGTTCTAAGAAAACTCCAACCAATCACTGCATTTGGACTGAATGCAACGATTGGCCGAGTGTCCTGTCGGTCTTCCCCACATGGGGGCCTCTGACTGACGTAAATGCTCGCATAACATCTCCCCCCTTCTACTCTTCTCTTGGCGTGTTACACTCGCTCTCCTCTTCTGTGTATCTAACGTTACCTTGCCAATGCCTACATCTATCATAAACGTAATGAGCACGTAATGGAGGAGGGGCACATTAATCGGAGTATGCACTGCTGCATGTAAACAGGAATATTAGTGGATTACTTATGTTCATTAGTCGTGTAAACAGCTTAGTAGGAATATTGCTGGGCAAAAACCAGAATATTTTGCGCATGTAAACGTAGTCATTATTGAAATTTGGTGACATTAAGAAAAAAGAAAAGCCAGCTTTATCTGTTAAGAGTGAAGAGAGCAGCTCAAACAATGTGTACAGTATGAGGTTTGGACAGTTCTTTATTTCCCTTTTATAAGGCTGCTGGGTCTCCCCATAGTGGATATACATATATATACAGGAGATTGCTATACTGGAGTTACACTGAGGGCAGAGGGTCCATATTACACAGACTTCAAAAAACAACACTAATAGAGCCTCACCTCCAGGTATCAGAAATCAGCAGAGAGAGAGAGAGAGAGGGGATGGGAAGGGGGGAAACAGCACATGAGAAGAGGGAAGAGAAAGAAGAGGGGAGATGATGCAGTCTGAGAGCCTGACTCGACTGCCTAATAACTTAACACTAGAAAATAACATACAGATTTCACGCACAGTGCATCTTAAATAGGTTACGTGAAGAACCATTTACCATAAATATCTGTATTTTCGGGAACCAACATATATAAAAAAATGATTAAAAAAAAAAACAACAAAAATCAATGTTCAGTCTTTTAATTTTTTTTATCTCCTTTTCCCATCGTGCAAATCCTTCTTTCGTTCCTTCTTCCTGTGTAGGCTGGGCTTTTTTTCTGCCCTGCCCACAGCTGTTCCAGATAAACGAGGAAAAGGAAACAGAACCCAGCACCCCCCTCCCCTCCCCCCCTTAAAAGCATATGAATTAGTAGAAAACGAACAAACAAATGAACAGAACACCACAGTCAACTCATCACAAAAAGAACCCACAGACACACAGAACAGCAAGAACACAGTACTCTTTTTTTTTTTTTTTTGAGCTTCTTCATCACCGTTATTCCTCGTAATGGTCAGTATCGTCGTCGCGGTCTTTCTCCTGGCGTACTGGTTGGCGGCAGTGGAGCGGCCCTCCCTTCTGACGGCTCAGTGGAACTGGGAGGCAACTCTCCAATTGGCTGGTCAGTTCAGCAGTGATATATTATCTCTCAATTTCACAGTGTGGTAGGAAAAGGAGAATGAGGGGAGGGAGGGGGAGTGGCGGGGGAGGTAAGCCAGAGGGAGGTGGGAACAGGAATCATAGGAACCACAGCAACAATTAGAAAACAACTAGAAACCCCGACCATCCATGAAAAAAGTAAACAAAATGGCCGCTTCACTCCTTTCTTCTGAGTTTCTTTCCCGCCGACCCGTGTGGTTGGGAAGGCCTTGATTGGCTGGCGTAAGCTTGATTGGATGGCCTGTGTTTGTGGCAGAAGGTAGGGAGAGATGGGTGAGGGAAGTCTAAGGCTGACTGGAATCCGCTGGTGGATGGGACTCGACAGGGCGATATGTCGTCAGGAGCAAAAGGATGGGCGTGGCGGGTCAATGTGTGGTTGGCAGGTCAGAGGGCGAATCCCTTCTTGGTGGGTTCAGGCACGCTGTTGCAGTGCCCTCCTCTTGCGGCTGTAGTAGTGACGCGCGCCGGTCTGTCGGGCAAAGTTCATCATGTAGTTTTGTTTACGGGTGCTGCGGGGATACAAAGACAGTGAAAGAGGGGGGGGGGGGGGGGGGGGGGGGGGGGGGGGGGGGGGGGGGGGGGGGGGGGGGGGGGGGGGGGGGGGGGGGGAGAGGAGGAGTGTGAACATTAGTGACCGAGTAAAGGGCACTAAGAATCCACACATTCCCATGCGCACACCCGTATCCATGCACGCAAACACATGAATGGTTGAATGCGGCTTTCGTACTCACTCACATCCATGTTCATGCTGGCATTTTTAACCATGTTTCAGCCGTAACCTCAAACACTCAACACCTGTATGGGTCTCATGGCTCGGAGAATGGGTAGCGCTATTCTACACAACTGGATTTGTTTACGTTCTGCACAAATGAGATGCAGCTAGATGGTGAACATGGTGGTAAAACTACACGAATCTAAGACCAAATGTCACAGGACAAAGACATGGGACACAGAGTCTACAAACATACTACCACAGATGCTAAAGGGGGGGACACTCTGACACTGAGTGTTTGAGGTCAGAGTTAACAGCCGTCACTGGGCGAAAAGAAAAATAAGTAAACCAAGGCCATAAAAGTGCAGGATCGTGAGCAGAGAAGGGGTGGTTTTGAAACTAAGAGACACAGAGAAAAGCTGTGGAAGATCGCTCTTGCTTAGCCTGTTCATTGCCTCTTCCATCCAGCAGGGTGGTGCCAGTGAGCCAGGAGTGCAGCCAGGGCAGGCAGGGGCCTCTGCGAAGCGGGGGGGATCAGGAAGGGTGGGGGTGGGAAGGGGATGTGTGTGTGTTTGTGTGTGTGATGGTTGATGCTGTGGAGGTGGAAGTGTGAAAGCAGATGGGAGGAATGGCTGGTAAACTGTATGTGTTTGAGCGTGTGTGTGTGTGAGTGTGTGTGAGCACTTGTTTGTCAGAGTTGTGGTCAGAGGGTAGTGAGGAGGGAGCTCCTGGCTCAGAGTCATGTTGTTGTTGTCCACAGACAGACAGACAGCCATGAGTGAAGAAGGGATGGAGAGCTGTCGCAACAGTCGATCCGTAAAGCCATGCAAGGAGCTGGATGGAGGAGGTTAGTCGGATGAAACTCTCCCACCAAATGGGCCATCATTTGAGATTAATGATGCGAGGTGCCCTGCTGTGCAACTGATGTTGTTAAATGAATGGAAAAAAATAAAAAATAAAAAAAATAAATCAGTGCTTGGGCTGGAGTGTGATCAATGCTGGACCCACAAACAGCAATCTTTCTCAAGTAGGATCGTTGAATGGTGCGTGTCGGCTTGTTAATTAGCAGCGAGGTCGAAAACACTGCAACAGTTTGCAGCAGAGGTAGTAGCAAGAACAAAACAAACAGATATAGGTATAGTGATGGGTTACATCACACATATACACACAAACACATTGACATTTGTGTATGTGAAGTATTAGATTAAAAATGCCTTGAGGACTGTGTGAACTGCACATTCAAAATCAACGCCATCAAAAGGATTTTTTCATCTGGTGACACTGAACCCTTTTGGAGGATGCATTTAAAAAACTGTCGAATAAAAATCTGCCACCACTCAAGATTTAAACGCTATGTTTGTCCCTCTGTTCACTGTGTTGTTGTGAAAATATTTTTGAGCTGTCTCTGTGTGTTGGATCATTTTGTCAGCGAGCCTCCACCTGGAAACTGTGAGCAGCTGGCCTGCTCGTTGACCTGCCTGTGGCCTGAGTTAAGGCGAGGGCATGAAGATGACCGTGGCGATGATGAGGAGGGCTGGGTGTGTCGGTGGAAGTGTGGGAGAGTGTGCACAGTGTAACAGGGGGGAGAAGAGAGGGTCGGGAGGAGGGGTGAGGGAGGGGGCTGCATTCAGGAAGAGGCGGAGAACTTACCTCACACTACAGCCATGCCAGAGGGAGCAGAATACAGAAGAGAGCAGAGGTTAGAGCGCGAGAGGGGAGAAGCAGGAGGAGGGGACTGCTGTCTCGCAGAAAGGTCTGGGGGGGTAGGAGCCCCGGCCTGGGGAGGCAGGGGCCCAAAGCGGGGAGAAGGGAGGAGAGAGAAGAGGCATAAAGATAGTCAGAGGTTAAAGGAGGAAGAAGTGATAGT